TAAATAAAATAAGAAAAATCAAGAACGCAGGGACACATGTCAAATTCCAACAGAGTAATGATGTCATATACCAGGAACCTTCTGGAAAACACTGCATGATTGTTGAAGAATGAGTCTCAGGCCGGAGATATCATGCAGTGGGTGAAGCGCAGGCACTGCATGTGGCTGACCTGGGTTCAATCCCCGGCAACACAGGTATGCTCCCCTAAGCCCCACCAGGAGTGATTCCTCCCATGAAGCCAGGAGAAAACCCTGAAAACTGCCAGGTATGCTAACCCACCACTCTCACCCAACCCCCACACACCCAAAATAGCAACAACAACAACAACAAAACAACAACAACAACAACAAAGAATGAAACTAAAAAGCAAATAACATCTCAGCATTTAAAATGAGACTGCTTTCTCAACAGAAATCCACTGAAAGGGTTATCAGGACATGCTGGTTTGCCCAGAACACAGACAGAGAAGAAAAGCTTGTCTGCAGGACAAAATAACAAGTACCAGACAGAAAAATATTCAGCTGGGTGATCTAATTTTCCATCCCAAAAGTAATTTTCATGATAAATAGCAATGCTATCAACAGTTTTCCAGTAAACTCTTGAATAATATTAACAAAATGTTTTCTTCTAATATGTACATATGAAACTAAATTCTTATTTTATGTGCCAATAAGACAAAAACTATATACAAATTCTTAAGGTACCCAGAATAATTAATGATAAAATGCGGGAATAACTTTGCTCTCTAAGGCATACAGAAATTTTCAATGAGTAAGATGGCCTTTTGAAATAAATATACTTTGTACTTATGAATGCATAGCCCTAAAGGAAAAATTCGACCTAATACAGTGATAGAGTAATTCTGCTGGGCCACACAGAATCTTAGGACTCACCAATGTTTTCTAGAGACATGCTCACACTACTTTCTCAGTCTGACCAATACACATCAATACCAAATTCCAAATGAAAAATTTGGAGTTTTCTCTTTATTAATCAACTATTCCTTAACAACATCCACATTCTCTCTCGCTATCTCTCAAAAGAAATGTCAGGAGGACTTTACATACATGAATGTTTTGCTTTATATTTTATTATAAAATAAGCTACGCTATAAGGAAATGTATTTGCATGAAAGAAAAAAACATAAATGTAATTGCAATCTTAGTGTAATATGTCCTTAAAGGCAAACAAATGCTAAATTACCATATTGCTTCAGTGTTTAGAGTTCCTCTCCATGAGAGCAAATGGGAATTTTGCATGTAATGCAAATCTAAGAAATCAAAGGAAAAATAGCCATCTGCAGAACTTAAGGAAAGATCATCTCCCTTTAATCCAACTACTCTACTCATTCACACCACAGTAAATCAAAGCTGCGTAACAATTCTCAAAATCTCCCTGTGTTTTTAAATAAAGAAATCACCATCAGTTTTAGTTGCTGATTTATAAATTTAAAAGAAAAGTCTCCTCTCACTGTAACTGCCCCTCCTATTTGGCAAGCCTCTTCAAAGGGAGTTTCAATCAACAAAGTGACCCAGACCAAATCTAGAAACAACTCGGTTACCCTTTAATGGACTGCCTTGAATTCTTCTAATTATATAACCTTTTTTAAACTTCTCTCTCTATAACCAAGGAACTATAATCCTTGGTTACAGTTCACCAAGTAATCAAAGGCGAATCAAGTCAGCATGGATTTGCCTTTCCTAATTACTGGTAACAATGCCCAGCACAGTAGCCAGAACAAGCGGACCTTGTACTCTATTCATCTTCATGGAACGAAGTATCTAAATCTCCAAAGGTAAGAAGATCCTCATTAAGAATGGCATTTCTGCAAGACCTCCCATTTATATTTCTGATGACTGCTCTCAATCTGAAAGATAATAACACCACCAGGCAACTTGAAATGAGACATCAAAAGGCATTTACCATTAGGACAAAACCCAGCCTATTTTAGGGTTCTTCAGGCAAGGGATGCCTGATGATGTAGGCCAGTATGTCCAACTAAAAAATGCAAGTTGCTCACGTAAGCCTTTACAATCAGTCCTCCAGCCCCTATAGAACCAAGTCTATAGAAATAGTCTGCTCAACCATATATAAAAAATTCACTGACCTGCTTCATACATATACCTGAAGTGAATTTTTAATGGAAAGGAAAGACTATGGGATGGCATTCAATTGCTCTGACACATTCACCTTTAGCTACAGACAGCACAATACACTGACAGACACAGTTCTAATGACATCAGGACCTGTGGAATGTATGACTGCTAGGAAGCACATGCTGCTAAGAAACAAAGAACAGATCTGATCAAATTTTCTAATGGATGGGCCGGGAATCACTGGGATTAGATCTTAAAGAAGGAGAGGACCACTATGCTTTCATCTTCAGAGAGATTTGGAAGTATAAAGACTTTAACACATAACCTCTAGAAATTAATATATAGATATAGATATATATGAGGCCAAATTCTCAGTTCTGATAATTCTCTAACTTCTCTCTTAAGATGATCATCATTAGCAATCTCTATCATGAAAGCAGAGCTCAATCACAATTAGGAGCCAATAATTGGGGAACCTAATCTTTCTCAAGAGGCCAAGATATTAAAAAAGAAGAGAGAGAAAAAGTAGTGATAGTCCTAGAAACAACGTATTGTTATTATTTACAGTACCACACTAATAAAGGGAGAAGAGCATAGCCATCTAGAGCAAAAGCAATCGTAGCTAACCTGACAACTATTTAAAGTAAAAATAAGTATCAAGTTTCAACTTTTTTAACTGCTCCTCTTCATAGTTTTTATGCTAGCTTTAGTTTTAAAAAAAAATCCTGAGGCAAAACTAAAAGATACTTCAATCCAGGCGTGTCTTTTTTTACTCCTACACCAACTACCGGGAAACCTATAAAAGAACAAGCAATTCTAGCTGAAATTTATATAGAGACGAACCGGGTACCAGAATTTCAGATCACTTAGTTTCATATACAATTCGATAAATACACCAAGAAGATCTAGCAGACTCCGTTAAGCCGCGTGGGGAAATAAAGGCACGTTTTTCCGATGAAAAATTATTACCAAGTCAGAGTGGCTTGGTCGGTTCTACAGTGACATTCTTTAAGTAGTGTTGACAGCCCATATGACACTGAGATCAGGCGACCGCCTATTTACTTAAGTGCAAATCACTGAAGAATTTGCCCTTCCTTCCAAGAGTCGCCTTCTCCTCACTTCCCCAGCAGCTGGCTGCAAGACGGGTAAAATCAGGGGTGCAAGAAGGTTGAGACTTCCTCAGGAGTAAGCCACCCAGAAAAGTAAACACCCCAGACGCCACGAAGCTTGGCACGAACGCAGACTGTGGCAGGGCTCTTGGCACGGTTGTTTACAATGTGGTCTAAGGACCGCAGCCGGGGATGGCACACAGGGACAGGAGGAGACACCCAGAGGTGGCCCTCTCGCTCCGAGTTCGCCCAATTGCTGCGTTCGCTGGAGCCATCAATAAGGCAGCGCTCACAGCTATGATGAGCACGGCTGGGAGCATTTCCAAGGGATGGGGGGTTGCGGCCGGCGGGAGCGGGGTGAGGGGTGGGGGGGTGCACGCTCCCTCGATCCCCATCAGCACCAACGTGGGGTGCGTCGGCCGCTGCACCAGAGACTCCCGCGCCTCCCGCGTCTCTCGGAGCCGCTCCTCGCTGGGGACGCCGCGACGCCGGGAGGCATCCTTGCAGCCCCCTCGGGGGCCCCCGTGGCCTCCTCAAACCAGCTTTTCCAGTTAAGCGGATCCCGGGAGATTTGGAGCCGCGAGCTCAGCTTCAGTACCGGGAGCCTGCCGTGCCCGTAGCTCCCTCCCCGCCGTGCCCAGCGCGCCCACGGTGACCCCGTTGCCAACTCACCCAGGTGCCCGAAGTAGCCCCCCCAACCCCGCAGACACACACACACACACACACACACACACACACACACACACACACATGCACACGCACACACACACGCACACGCACACACACAGGGCACGCCTCGTCCCACCCTACTCAGCCCACCCGGCGCAGATACGGTCTAGCCCGTCCTGCCCTGCCCGGGAGCCCCGAGGAGCGAGCGGAGGCAGGGGCGCGGCGACACCGGCTCTCCGCTGCGGCCCGAGCTCCCCCTTGACCACGACAGCTCCGGGGGGGCGCCCGTCTTCCTACCTGTAACCTAGCTGCTCAGGGCCACCAACGTCCTGCCCGCCCCAGCCCGCCGGCGCGGTCCCCGGATTCCTGCACCGCCGCCCCCCGCGCCGTGCCGACTCCCAACGATCCCGTCGCCCGGGCCACCCACGAAAGTGGCCGCTTTCTCCAGCCCAAACCGCCCGAACAAAGCCGAGGCGGGCAGATCTCCACCAAACTGCCGCCACGGGGGTGGGGGCACACACCACGGGCGGGCTGCGGGGCAACAGCGCGCCTCACCGATTCGGGGGCGCGACCTGGGCAAACGGGGCCACCAGGGATGCTTCAAGCAGGCGTCTGGGGGGAGGGTGCGAGGAGAATGCGGTGGGCTCTCTTCAAGGACCCCAACAGTCCCCGAATCCAGCTCCTCACCCAGTCCCTGTCTGTCCTCCGGCACGCTCCCGCCACCAACAGCTCCCAGCTCCGGCCCGTCCGAGAGAAGGCGCCCCCTGGTCGGTTTTCCGTCCCCCCGCAGGGGATGACACCCGGGTGAGAAAGAAGGGACCATTCCCGGGTGGACCCCCGTTCCCGTTCTCCAGCGTCGGTGCGACTGCCGGCCGGTGGGTGCTCTCGAGCTCCTCTCTTCTGCATCCCTCCCGGGCGCCCAAGAGAAGGGAAAATCTCGAACCCGGGTCCACTCCTCAGCGCCCACCCGCCAGGAGGCTCCCTTCCCGCCCCGCAGCACGATCGAAGGAGCGTGTGTGCAGCCGAGGGTGCGACGGGCTGGGTGCGTGTGCTCGCTCGCAGCCCGGCCCGCGGACGCCGCCGGCGCCCGGGCCACCACTATTACCAAGAGTCGGAATAAATTACCTTTCGTAACCGCCGCTCCCGGAGATCGTCCCATCAGTGGCTCAACAACCTGCCACTGGGGGTAGTTTTCAACCATCCAGTCACCGAGCCCGGGAGGGTGGAGGGGGTGTGGGGGGGCGGGGGGCAGCAAACGACCCCACTGGCCCCAGCGAAGACACCCGGGCCACACGCGTCCACGGAGGATGAGAACCACAGCGCAGAGGAGGCAGCAGGAGGGTGGAGACCCCGGCCAAGGAAACAAACAACAAAAAGTCTCGCCTTCCCCCTTTCTTCTGCTACACGGCCATGGAGAAAGGGGAAGGGGGGTGGGGGGGATGCTTGTCTTCCTTTACGTTTCCTCGCTTCCCGCACACCAAGCGGGGGGTTGGGGAGGGGGGTGCCCAAAAACGGAGCACGGGGAGAGGAGGGTTCAAATGTCTCTCGCAGTCCACAGTTGCACAACTTCGGAGTCAGGCTCGGTCTCCAGCAGCAGCAGCAGCACCAGCAGCACCAGCAGCACCAGCAGCCCAGGGACCCGGGCGGCAGCGATTAACATGCGGCAGTGCTCGCCGGGGCTGCTCCTCTTCCTCCCGCTGCCGCCGCCGCCGCCGCCGCTCGGGGAGAGACGCTGCCGAAGAGCCCCCCGATCTTCCAGCATCCCCCCGAGCCGGTCTTTTATATCCAGTGGTCCCACCCCACCCACCCCCCGGCTCTGGCTTTTTTCTTCTTCTTCCTCGTTCTCCTCTTTCCGGCTAGGAGCGGGAGCGAAGGAATAGGTAGGGGGAGCCGCAGGAGCTAGGGGTGGCTGCTCGTCGGCGAAGCCCTCCTCCTTCTCCTCTTTCTCCTCCTCCTCCGCCTCCTCCTCGGGAGGCTCTCCCCCGGCCGCGGGGCTCCTCTCGCACCCACCACCTTCCCCGCGAGCCGGCGCGAGGGCCGCGCAAACTCCTTTTCGGGGGCCGCGCGGGAGCGCGCGGGCGCCGCGTTCCGGGGGTCGCGGAGCTCCGAGCCCGGGGGGCGGCCGCTCAGCTCGCCGCCGGCCGGCCCGGGCCGCCGCGGGCATGCGGGAGCTTCATCGCGCGGCCGCGCCGCCTCGGGGGCCGCTGCCTTGTCTCCGAGTCCCCGCGATCGAGCCGGGCACCGGCGCTCTCCGGACGCGCTCCCGCGGCGCGCAGCCCCGGCCGAGCCCCCCGTGCGGCCCGCGCGCTCGCGCGCGCGCGCGCACACACACCCGAGCGGGGACGGAGGCGAGCGAGAAGAAAGAAACGGGAGGGGGGCGAGTCACTGGCGGCGGCGGCCGCGAGCGGTCCGAGGACAGGCGGTGGCGGTGGCGGTGACGGCGGCGGCGGAGCCCAGCCGGTCCGGGAGCGGCAGCTGCATCCCCGCGCCCGGGAGCGGGGGCGCGCGGCGCGGTGCGGGCCGGCAGCCGGCCGAGGCTCCGAGAGCGGGCGGAGCGCGGGCGCGCCGGGACCCGGGCCGAGGCCGGAATGAGCCGCGGGCGGGGGGGAGCGCTGGGAGTCGGGGAGGGGGCTCGCGCCCGGGACCGGGGGGCGGCCGGCAAAACCCGGATCTGGAGTCCGGCGGGTTCGGGGCCGCGTGGGCTCCACCTAGCAGCTTCACGATCGCTGGAGGTAGGAAGGAGAGGACAGCTACTGAGGCTTCCCTTGCAGGGCGTCAAACAAAGAGTACCTCCAGGAGGCTGCCTCCCTCCCACTGTTCCTCCTCCCTTCTCTCTCTCTCTCTCTCTCTCTCTCTCTCTCTCTCTCTCTCTCTCTCTCTCTCTCTCTCTCTCTCTCTCCCTCTCTCTCCCTCCCCTTCTACCCCCCCAGCTCCTTGCCCCTGCTTCTTCACGCTCCCCTTTTCTCTCTTCTTTCTTCCCCCCCTTCTCCCGTCCCCCTTTATCTCCTTTTTCTTTCTCGTCCCAGGTAAGTAAAGAAGATCACATTGAACGCCCTGCCTGCATCCCTTCTTCCATGTGCCGATCATTCCATATTTTCATTAGGCAGTGACCAAAACCCAATTGCGTTGCCAACCTTTGGTCCATTTTGTGTTCCTGCAAGTTTAGGTTCCTCCCAGGTGCGAGTTGATTGCAGACTTCAAACTGTCCTCCCAGCATCACGGTGGGGATGGAATGATTTTAGTCCACCACATCAATCAAAATGACCGTGGTGTATCTAGAACTCTAAATGCCAGAGCAGCACCTTTCTGAACGAGATAAAGTCAGTTCAAGTTAACTGGATGACCTTGGTCAATTACTGAACCTCTTATCACTTCTTTGTAAATGAGGGGGTTTCAGTAATAGTTTCCAGAGTATTTGTTTTCTTCTCTAAAATCTAGCGACTTGAAATGGCTAAGGTGTTATTTTTTCATATGAGTAAATTTGAGTTGTGATTATGACATATGCTAAGATTTATTATAAACATCCAACTAGCACGCACCATTCAAATTGGATTTGAAAGCATACATTCGAAATGTCCTCTGAGAGCACTTGGGGAAGTAACATCAAACCCAGCACATCTGAAGAACCTAAAACCTCATTAGAATTAACAGACCATACCCAATACAAATGACTATCAAAATTTCATTCATTCTTCAAAGCTCAATTCTGGAGTCAAGTACTCCAAGAAGCCTTTTCTCTCCAACCACAATAAAAAAATAATCACTGCTCCATTACACTCCCAGAGCACTTTGATGCTATCTCTACAACACCTATTTCATTCAGTTCTTTTCTTGTTCTTTCAAAATAATTAGTTCTTTGTCTATATGTCCCTTTAGATTGTAGGATCTTCCTTGAACGCAAAATGCAGATTTTAATCATATCTAAACGTAAATCTGTATTTGTAGTTCTTTAAAAATCCATGGGGGGGTGGGGCAGGGAATACTAGGAGAGGAGGATAATTCTGCTGAATTCTGACCAAATGGATGTTCAAAGGGTCAAGTTAACTGGTCAGTTTTTATAATGCTTATCCATTTTATCCCCTGGTTACTTAAAGAAAAGCCAAACTGACATTTGCAGTCACCTGTTACCTAAATAATTTTGAAAAGAGTAGCCAATTGTGACAAATGTTTCTAACTTTAAAGGAAACAGAATGAAAAGCATTCGTCTCCCAAGTGGATAGGTACATACAATTAATAAAATACTAAAATTCAGAATAAAAGCTCTTATATAGATATTAAGTAAATGCTGTTATTTTATTTAGAAAATATAAACACTCTCTGTAGACTACCTTTTAGAATCAACCTTTCTAGAATGAAATTTCAAAATGGAAGTAATACATTTATCAAAATGTGAAACAGTAATTGAATAAAGCTAATAGCCAAAGAGGATTTGACCTCAAACAAAAAAAAATTAAAAAGAAAATGTTCAGGAGAAAAATCCAAATAGGGTAAAAAATTGAAAACTGATGATTAGATAAAATCAGGGAGCGAAGATAATAGATTGCTTGTACAATAAATAAAATGTTAAGATAGTATTTTTCTTCTAGCATCTACCTATAATTGACCCACCAACATCATGCTTACAAATCATTTTTAATCTGAGTGTCTATGGTCATCTATATTTGATTTAAGATATAAAGAATCCTACTTGATTGCCAGGAAATCTATGACTTGTCAATATTATTCCAAGGTGAATCTTCCACAAAAAATAAATAAATAAATCTGTGATTTATTGCCACACAATTTTTATATATAGCACTTCTTCTCAAAGACAAAAGAGCATCACAAATGATGTTTGACCAAAGATGATATTATACTGAATTGTTTTAAGTACTAGAGTTGGTTTTTTTTTAAGTTTTCCTTAAGTTACACTAAACTTAGCATCATTTGAAATTGGTGGATAAGTTTCTTCCAAATAAGAAGAACAAATCAAAGTTAAGTTAAAAAGGTTGAATATCCAATCAAATTGGATAACCAAAATTGAAATTGTTTTTAACTATTAAAATTTCCTGACCAAAGGACTTTTCAAATTAAATAATACACTAGGATCTCTAGCAGTATGAAAGTTAAGGAAAGAATATTGACAATATGTTCACAGAGTAAATACAAAGGGCCAATAAGTATAAAGAAATGTGTCTGCGTATACAAATTCAATACATTGTGTGTGTGTATATGTACACAGTTATCATATCCACTGTCTTTTAATCTTCAATGAAAATTCACTGAGAAGCATTGATATCTTACAACTGAACTCACATAAGTATGGTGCAACTGGTAAGATCCTATCTTACTGAAAAAAAAATGGCACATTTTTTATTCTAAAAACAAAACCAACAGTTCACATCAATTGTCTTATACATTATATGACATTAATTAGGTACATATATAATATAGAGAGAGAGCCCGGCGAGCTACTGAGAGTATCTCGCCTGCACGACAAAGCCTGGCAAGCTACCCATGAGATATTCAATATGCCAAAAACAGTAACAACAATTGTCACAATGGAGACATTACTGGGCCTGCTCGAGCAAAATCGATGAACAACAGGAGGACAGTGACAGTGACATAGTATAAGTGATACATCTTTGTATACATAGATATATCACTTCTACTATGAGCAGAAGTAGAGATATATAAGAAGGTTGTGTCAGAACAACGGATATACAAGGGGAGGGATTATGTAAGATACTCAGACTTGTCGTGTATTTTCACACTCAATAAAATCTCTTAAATGATTGGCACTGGAGTTATTCTTTATTGGGTGGATAGTTGGCTAAAACAAAAAAATGTGTATGGTTATATATACTGTTTTAATTACAATTCCTTTAGACCTGAGCAAGAGAACACAAAGTTACAGCAGAGAACTAAACAAGATAGAAGTTTATTTCTTTTTCAAGTCAAAGGTTGGTGATTGAAGACTATTATGACTCTCCAGAGTATCCCAAAATGAAACAGTTGCCTACTTTTTCTTCTTGTTCCCTTACCACTGGCTTTTATTCCTAGTTTCAACTCTAGTAATCAGGCCTACATGGAAGGAGCAAAGGAGAAAAAGGAAGAGAAAAGCTTACTCACATTCAAAGGCATTTTTCTAAAGTTCTACAAACCATTTCCTTATCATTTCCTCCTCAGAAATAGTGACACTGAGCTCCAAATCTAATAGGAAATGTTGGTTACCCCAGGCAGTCATGTGTCCAACCAAAAATCAGAATTCTTTTAAGATCAAGCCTTTCCCCAGCATATGACCTAACACTCTGCACAGCCTTGGGCTAACTTTTGCATACATTAGGTTTTTAGTAACCAAATGAATGACCAGCTAATGGAAATAATAGACAATGCCACCTTCATATGAAATGACCTCTACTTCAACCAGATGTAAACTTTTGTATGATTTCAAATTGCTGACCTTTTGCCACTAGAGAAAGTGCTCTCTGAAACCCAACCAAGTGTCAGCATAGTTTCTGCCTTAAATAAGCCTGGCCCTAATTAAACTGATAGATCAAAGTACTCAGAGTTTAACTTTTGCAAAGCAGGCTATAAAGCACAGAACTCAGA